AAGGGTTTTTGGCCACCAACAGGGTGAGCCTTTGGCACATGGATGGGCTTGGAAGGGAGCAGGGAAGAGTGGGAAGGGTTTTTGGGAAGTCTGGGGGATGTGGAGAAGGGGTTTGTTTGAAGAAGGGTTTTGTTGATGGTTTGAACCATTAACAAGGTGAGCCTTTGGAACCTGGAAAGGCTCGGAAGGGAGCAGGGAAGAGTGGGAAGGGGTTTTGGGAAGGCTGAGGGGTGTCGAGAAGGGATTTGTGGCCGCCAACAAGGTGAGGCTCAGGAACATGGGTGGGCTTGGCAGGGAAGACCGGGAAGGGCTTGGAAAAAAGGGAAGAGTAGGAAGGAGTTTTGGGAAGGCTGAGGGGTGTTGAGAAGGGATTTGTGGCCACCAACAGGGTGAGGTTTTGGCACATGGATGGTCTTGGAAGGGAGAAGGGAAGAGCAGGAAGGTTGTTTGGGAAGGCTGAGGGATGTGGAGAAGGGATTTGTGGCCCCAAGGTGAGCCTTTGGAACGTGGAAAGGCTCAGAAGGGAGCAGGGAAGGGTTTTTGGGAAGACTGAGGGATGTTGAGAAGGGATTTGTGGCCACCAACAGGGTGAGGCTCAGGAACATGGATGGGCTTGGCAGGGAAGTCTGGGAAGGGCTTGGAAAGAAGGGAAGAGCAGGAAGGGTTTTTGGGAAGGCTGAGGGATGTGGAGAAGGGGTTTGTGGCCGTCAAGGGGAGGTTTTGGTACATGGATGGTCTTGGAAGGGAGCAGGGAAGAGCAGGAATCCCCCCAAAAATGCCCATACAATTCCCTGAGAGGCGGAAAACCCAACTGATATTTCCCGAGAGGGGGAAAATCCAATCAGAATTTCCTGAGGGGGGAAAATTCCCAAAGAAACGCCAGCACAGATCCCGTCTCTCCCACGGAGCCGCTCCTTTTCCCCGGGAATTTTTCCCTCCTCTCAGCTCCGGGTGCCAGAACTCCGGGATTTCTCCCATCGGGAATGTGTTTTCCCTGGGTTTTTTTCCAGCTGAACAACGAGACGTCCCCGGGGCAGGCGGTGACGGTGGAGCTGTTCCTGACGTTCCAGCTCGTCCTCTGCGTCCTGGCGTCCACCGACGAGCGGCGGGAGGATCCCGTGGGATCGCCGGCCCTGTCCATAGGGCTGAGCGTGGCCGTGGGGCATCTCCTGGGGGTGAGGGATGGGATGGGAATGGGGATGGGATGGGAATGGGAATGGGAATGGGGATGGGAATGGGAATGGGAATGGG